CAACTTCAGATGGAAACAAATGGTGTAGCAGCAGCCTCTAAATCAGTAGGCCTCAACATACATAAGGGAGAAAGTAAGATCCTGAAATACAACGCAAAGAACACCAACCCAGTAAAACTTGATGACTAAGCCCTTGATGAGGTGGAAAACTCACATATCTGGATAACATCACCGATGAACGTGAGGGATCCGATGCAGACATAGATGCAAGGATCGACAATGCAAAGACATCATTGTTATAGTTGAAGAACATGTTGAACTCAAAGCAAGTGTCAGCCAACATCGAAGTAACAATCTTCAGTAAGAAAGTCGAGGCGGTCCTACCGTTCGAAGATGAAACTTGAAGAAGCACCACAATCATCGTTGAAAATTTACAAATATTTACAAAAAATTGTCCAGACAATGTGCTCAATGTCCGTAGGCCGGATACCTCAGGTATGGTCAGCCAATTTGATTTTTTTATACGAAGTCAAACAGTAGCTTTGTAAAATATGAAAATCGTACATCACACACGTTATTTCCATATATCTCATCACTTTTGCCTTCCACACTTCATCATTCTTTCGACCCTGTTTTTATTTTGATTCCTTTTTTTGCTTTCTCTTTATTTCACTTTTCTGGTGGTGAGCAGTTTAACTCCACTTCCAGTTACACACTACTTACATCTCTCTGAATGAGTAGTGCATCCTATAGTACGGAATCAGCCTAAAAATATATTAGATTCACAAACGGATAACAGGTGAAAGATAATACTACTTCCGAAATTAATTTTGTTAAAATAAACATAGTAGCCTGAGAGTGCCAAAGAGATAAGCAAGGTAGCATCCCACTGTATTTACAACTGCCACCCAATAGTGGTTTTTTGAGCCGATGAGCTTATTAGCATGTTCATACAATAGTGTAACAACTCTCAAGTTAGAATTTTCTGTTAGAGAATATTTTCCCAAAGAACTAAAGAAGTTGGACCGTTAAACGTCGAGGTGATATAAAGTATCGCCTTTCTCAGCCAGATTAACTTTGTAAATGCAGTATCCGGAGGTTTCGCCTTCCCATTCACTGTTTGCAATGCGATGTAGTAGTGTTAGTCTAGAATCTTTAAATTCACAGAGGTGATAAACGATAAATTTTCAAGTACAATAGATTTCTGTAAAACGTGGATTACCACTGCTCACCGACGGTGATCTTTTATCGGACGACTTCAGTGACTATATGATGTCAGCTGCGACACTATAAAGCATTACCTCATGTAGTACTCTAGTTACTCCTTCAGATTTTCATTTTGCAGATAGCCAACTATACACTGGTGTAGAGTTCTTTTCCAAAATTTTAGGTAGCGTGACCTCCGAATTACTTGCGTCCGTTTTCAGTGTTTGCTGTATGTGTCATCTGAAGCTTATATCTGCATCATATCCCCATATCTTAACAAACTTGTTCTTTCGGAACTTGTTGACAAGTATTTAAGGAGTTACTGGTATTAAATATGAACACTGCTTAGCTTCAAACTTTTAGCCTGTGCGTACTGAAGCATTTAGAAAAAGTATAATCAAGGTAGATCACATAACTCATGATTCTCTACACCTTGAAAAATCAATGTCAAACAACACTTAAGAGATTATCTAATGAAGATAGAACACGACCGATGATGTAAAGCTTTCTGCTGGAAGTGATCGCGACGAAAATTCCTACCTTGTCATTAAAAAGAGGGCCACTGTCTAGTTTAGCTGTATAGGTAAAGATAACGATTACTTCATTTTCTATTATTTTATGAATTCCGTCACTACTAATTGTTCTGCTTTGCCCATCTGATTCAGGAGTAACATAAGAAGAGTCATGAACGCCCATAATTGAGAATGTTCTCCTACTATCCAGACACGGATTTGATGGAATGGAAAGTTTTATAATTCTGTCTACCAAAGTTTGAAATTTTTAGATTTGTTTATTCTGGTCACGAATATGGTGGCGATCGGAAGGTGGTGAAGGATATTGGTAGGGAAGGTACATTAAAGAATGTTTTTCAAACCAAAACCTGCCTTTAAAGTGATCATGCTAAGTGAAGTGGGGAGCAGGGCTTCTACTACAGACAAAAGGCAAGGCCTAGTATAAATCGGAAGTCTGTAGGGGCATTGGTTCCTAGCCACATGATCTCTGAAGCCTGGCATACTGAAAAGATGTATATTCAACATGTGACACTTGGCGAAGTTCAACACTGGTGGACGTGGAAACATTCATTCAATCGGACAGCATGACAGCCTTCTAAACGTGGTAATCAATTGTAACTTATTACTACTCACACTAAATATATTATCTTATCCCCAGCCAAAATGTATTCATCAGAAGAACTAAGTATCATATTGTTATTTATCATGATAGGATGTGTAAGTGCAGACTATGATGTGAACTCCACGTAAGATCTTAGGGGTTAGGTAGTCACATTATAACAAATCAACCATTTTGGGACTAGACTTATTATTAAAGTAGTTCTAATATCAAACTAGATCATAATTCTACAAATCCTCCTAAATGTTTCAGAACACAGCTATTTATGCGGACTGATATAAAGATGAAGTGACATATTGCGACTTGATATGAGGCATTTCCAGACTAGGCAATCAGCTTAAACACAAAATAATCCGAAATACCTACATAGGTATGTTCATACTAGCTACACTGACTCTCGACGTACAACTAGACTAGAAAAAGCGTTTAGTAATTTGAATGCAGTACAACACGAGAAGCTGCCATGCACAAAAGCATATCATCATTCAGTCAAGGAATACAAGAAATATGATTCTAGCATGAAATAAGGAACTACTTTGCAAACGTCTAGCACCAAAGATCTTACTTTGGCAGCAGGCTAATAATTGGTTCCTAATCACTTACTTTTGGCTGCTTCAGATCCAAGTCAACATAGAAGCCTATAAGAAAAGGAGGCCCGTGCTCTCAAACAGCCAGGCGGGGATTTTACCAGCCTGAAAACGAAAGAATCTTTATTACTTATTTCGTCACTCAAACAAAATGGGAGCTTACTGGCTAGTTATGTCCTTCTGTTCTAGTATTAGGTGATGGTTTGGAAAAGGTTAATCTAAATCCCAGGTAAGTTAAAAAATGGAAACGTTTCGGTCGGGAATTTCGTTGGATATTGCAAAATCTGCTCCATGATCCTGAGGCAATGCACAGTGGGTGCCAGTGTACTGACATATGCTTGTTATGCCAATAACCACAATAATGGTGACCGAAAGAAGTATGGTAACGATCTATTCTCCCTGAAATTTCCAGAGGGATTAGAGGGAAAGCTAGCTTGTCACTGACCAGATGCACTTTTCCAGTACTGCTGAAGGAACTGAAGGGGCTGATTAGTGATTAAACGAGAAAAAACGTTTACAAAAGCAACTACTGCACTCAACCCTTGTAACGAAGATTGCGATGATGTGGTTTAACAACCGAACTTCGCTTATCTCCAGGTGTTCTATACCAAAGGTAAACAAAATAAGTTGGCCTGACCTCGGAATCAGAAATTTAACGAAACCACTCCTGGTTGTGATCTCCATCATCGACCTCCTAGACAAGAGTGGTTCACTGACTTCCATACATTGCTGTAGTGGCATCGGACCGTAACCATAGAACATTTGAAGCCAAGTATATAATTCCTGAAAAGAGTTGTATTCAACAATTGACACGAAGAGGTGTTTAACAAAAGAAAAGGTGGGAAGAATTAACTTAATTCATCGGGTGGCATGGCTCAGCCTTGCATGCGTGTTTATTCTGTATAACTGGTCTCTACTCACATTAAATATATTGATATAACCAAAGATAGCTTAGACGCCAGCTCCAACTATATAGGGTTGTGATGATGTCACAGGTATTCAGTGTTTGACAACGCTTCTACCAGTAACACCTTCTAATATATTTCGTTCCCACCCAGAGAAATCAAAAGACAGAGTCGAGGAGTTTGGAAGAGTATATTTGGCGATGACCAATATATCGGAATTCTCCGATCTAATCTGGCTAGCGATTGCAGTTGATGTTGAGCACGGCGTTACCACACGTGATCTGGTGCGGATTCCTGACAGAGCGCCTTCAGCTAGATGAGTCCACTAAAACATATGGTCAGCATCCAATGTCGAAAACTTAGTGCTATTTATTTTGGGGATTTATTTACCGCTACAGTTGCAACAAGGCGAATGTAACGCTTCATTTTATCTGAAGACAAGTAAGCAACATCACACAAGGACTATTCCTGACACTGTAAGACGTAATTATGGCACCACTTTAAACCTTGCAACATTAATGTGTCCTCTCCATTCAAAAGAGACAGATATCATAGATCGAATACACGTCTCTTCTTATAAATTTTCCTCACCTATTATTCTTACACTTCAGTCCATTGGTATTGTTTGCGCTATTAATTAATTAATCGATCAATCTGTTTATTTCACCTGATCATCGTCTTCCCTTAGCTCTTCCTCAGTCTAATCCTTTCTTTTAGGATTTTTCACAATGGGATCAATCAACCTCATAGCTGGTTCCAGAAATCTTACTGCCCTGAAATAAACACTCAGATTTCAAGATACACAAATTCACAAATTACTGCTGAATCAACCAGAACTACTGAGGTCTCCACGAAGACACTTGGAAAGATCTGGAATTCAATTGTAACAATCATTAAGGAGCAATAGAAATCACATGATTTACACTTACTCTTCCGAAAGTTATTGGATACTGAGAGGCTGGGAATTTTGACTGTTGAGGGTCATTGGTCCACATTGTTCTCATATCGGGTTAGCTCTTGCTCCAATAAGCTGTAGTTTGGTGAGTTTGAATGCATGAAAATCCCTTGATTCATGTAAAAACAGTCTCTTACGCTTTCTGCTCCTGGAAAAATATCCACCAAACTAAGAATTCCATCAGTAGTATATTTAGTGATAAAACATGATTGGATCTTAACTTCAGAACAATTTCAGACCCCTATGGATGGACTCTAAATTTATAAATCCTAATCTAATTTATCTCTGTTGTTCGATGTGTCATGATAAAGATAGATTAGGACAATGCATAATTAACCCCATGGGGTTAGGTGTTAGATTAATTTTAAGTCTGTGCTTGTCCACAATCTTCTCGAATTCAGTAAACCTTCGGAAAAAAGTTTGAATGTTTTGTTGAGGTTTTATCGTCATACTTTATTACTGACTTTTCAAGCAATAATACTTAGTACAAATTTTTCTCACAGATCATATACTCGTAGCGATGCCGATTGCTCCAAATACATATCGGGGTGTTTCCCAACCATCATGTTTAGCCAAAGTAAAGTTTGGATTTTTAATGGGGTTCTGTGTTGGTGTAGCAACTGGTGCTATATTCGGCGGATTCAATTGTTTAAGGTAAGGTTTTTCAAGACCAGATTCTCTACTGTTACTGATGTTTTTCAGTGAAATTTTCATGGAATAACAAATTTTTTTAGTTTTCTAGAAAATTAAACTAGAGTAAACTTATTAAAACACCAGTTTCGCAGAATAACATTATATAATTTATATCGCCTCATGCCTTGGCAAGTAAAAATCGTAAGATTCGCTTCTCACATCTTTGGGTGAAAGTTAATTGGCATACCTACCTACACCTATTCATAATCGTATCTTTTGGTTTGAATACTGTATTCTTTCTTATGCTACTTATCTTGCTAGTTAGTTCCGTTCGGGCTAACGTCATATTTAAAAACTTTTACTAATGCACTTACCAGGTCCAAATGCCCTGGACGGCCGAGAGTGAAGAGAGTTCGCTCCCTCTCTCTCTCTCTCAATGCTCTGACATGGATCTGACATAACTACTGCCAGGGAAGTCCTATCCGCTGCCATCTCGTAGCCGGGGGGTTGTTCACGAGATTGAAAGGATCAAAAGCGAATGTCCGGTGCTTTAACCAGGTTCGTTGATACGAAGGATCTACCTAAAAAGAGTTAGAAAACCCTGATTCCAAACCAATATTGTACATAGACTCCAGGATTCTAAGGAAACAAATGGTGTATGAACCTATTGTTGGTCACCGGCTGCTATGAGACTGCACCTCCTAACGTTGCTCCACTGCCTTGTGGATTAGACCTTTAGGTCAAAGGCTCGGGTTGTGGCTCCCTAAGAAAACCATCTGCTTCGGTTTGGGCACCCATGCAGTATTCCAGCCCTCACACAAATCGAATGGTTTTTTGTGGTGCATATGTATTTGGTGCCTCATTGTAACAATGTTCACGTGCTTAGATAGTAATAATAATGATAATAATAATAATGATAATAATAATAATAATAATAATAATAATAATAATAATAATAACTTTGGCTATGACTGTTGGGGATAATATGCAACAAACTGACATGATTTCATTGTCGAAACCTATGAAAAATCTATGTTAACGATGTATACTGAAGATTTTTGTCTATATTTTTTGTAGATACGGTTTACGTGGACGTGAATTAATTCAAACGGTTGGCAAAGGCATGTTTCAAGGTGGAGGTACATTTGGCATGTTTATGGCTATAGGAACTGCCATCCGTTGTTAATAATTCTCTCATTAGTTTTTTGACACCTCAATTCCATGTATGCCTTCTTCGATCTGTTTTGTTCTTCTCAAATGCAGAAATGACCTGTATCTACTAACATTCTATGGTGTGCTTATGATGAGGAAACAAAGCTTAGATTTAGGAGTCATAGTATTTTACTATCTACTTATCTTTTCTTGTTCCGAACATTGATTCGTTTTAATGTATGACTGAATTTATTGGGTATGAAATATTTTTTAAAGTTGCTGATAAGTTTTTTTCAATAATCCATGTACATAAATATACATTACACCTTAGTGATTAACGTCTCTGTTGTATGCTTTTGTTTTCAGTAAATATCGTCATTTTCATTTTATTAGTGTATGGGCTGTGATACTGCCCGGGTACCCAGACCGAAGCAGGTGGTTTTCTTAGGGGGCCACACCCCGAGCCTTTGACCTAAAGGTCTGACCCATAAGGCAATGGAGCATCGTGAGTAGATGCAGTAGCATGGAAGCCGGTGGCCGACAGTTGGTTCATACGTCATTTGTTCCCTCAGGATACTGGAGCCCATGTGCACCACTGATTTAAAATCCGGTTAAAGCGCCGAACATTCGCTTTTCGTTCCTTCATTTTCGTAAACAACACCCCCGCCACGAGAAGTCAGTGAGTAGAACTTCTCTGGCAGAGGCTGTATACGCGTGGCTGTGTGAGAGCATCTCGAGGGGGCGGGAGGGCCCATCCCACTCTCGGCCATGCCAGGGCATTTGGGGGCAGCACTAATCGATCGGATCCCCATTAACAGTCGGTTATGTGCTGTTAGACTAGAGAGCTCCATCAAAGTGAGAAGTCGGTGCGAGAAACGATGTCCTTTCGTCATCTCCGCCTATGCCCCCACAGATTGCAGCCCGGATGCAATCAAGGATGAATTCTACCACCAGTTATCTGTTCTTCTCCAGAAAGTGCGTTCGACAGATATTGTAGTACTAGCCGGAGACTTGAATGCTCAGGTCGGGCGTCTAGGCACACAAGATAGTCGTTTAGGTGGCCAATGGGGACTTGTTGGTCGCAGGACAGATAACGGTGACCGTCTACTGCAACTGTGCACAGACCACATCCTGTTTCTGGCTAGCACTAACTTTCGGCACAGTCATCGCCGATGTGCCACCTGGCGTGCTCCCTCTGCATCACAAGCCTGGACTCAGATTGATCACATCGCGATCAGCTACTGCTGGCGTGGTTGTGTACAAGACTGCCGCTCCTTTTGGAGTACCTATCTGTACTCTGACCATGCCTTGATCTGCGCCAATCTTACCTTACTTTTCAATGGACAACGAAGTGACCGCCACCAACGGATTGATGTTAGCAAGCTGGTTGCAACTTCTGTTGCTAGTAAGTATCGAACCGAGCTAGTTTCTAGGCTAGCTACCATTCCGCCGAAAAGTATAGATGAGCATTGGTTGCAATTGCATGACGCCATGGAAATGGCGGGTACAGTCAGTTGTGGGTTCGCGAAACGTCCCGCTTACAAGCACTGGGTTTCTGCAGGTTCCTTACAACTCATTGAAGCCCGTCTGTCTACTCCGGGTGACTGTGAGTTTAACCACAAACGAAGGATGTTACGTAAGGAAATTGGGCAAAGCTTGCGTAATGACCGAGAAGCCTGGTGGTCGGAGCGTGCTGATGAGCTGGAAGCAGCAGCTACATCTGGTAACTACCAGAAGCTCTTCCATCTCATCTGAGCCACTGGCAGCAAGAAGTCTGGTGTGAGTGAAACAATCTGCGAGGATGATGGGATGCCAATCACCAACATCCATCGACGTCTTGGACGATGGGCAGAATTCTCCGAAGGGCAGTTCAACTAACCTGCTGCTCCGGCAACATCGGTCAGACTGTCCTGCCCTCTATGGCCGGTGACGACTGATCCACCAAATGAGGCGGAAGTCCGTAAGGAACTCCAACTCTTGAAGCGCTACAAATCACCGGGTCCAGAGGACTTACCTCCGGCTCTTTTTAAAGATGGTGATGACTTTCTGGCTAAGGAACTGACTGTGTTGTTTACAGGGTTCTGGGAACTAGAGAGTGTACCAACGTCATGGAATGAGTCGATAGTTGTCCCTATCTTTAAAAATGGTTTACATCGTTGTTGTAACAAGTATCGGGGGACAAGTCTACTTCCGATTGCGTCCAAGCTATTGGCTTCCGTCATACTTCGTAGGTTGTTCAAAACCCAAGAAAGATTGATTCGCGAGAAGCAGGCTGGTTTTCATTCTGGTCGAGGATGTGTTGATCATATCTTCACCCTCCGCCAAATGTTAGAACACTGTCATATTTATCAAAGGCAACAATCGTAGTGTTTCTTGACATCAGGGCTGCCTTCGATTCGTTGGACAAGACTGTCCTCTGGGATTGTCTATTGAAGAAGGGTGTGCCTGAGACGTTTATTAACATCATAAAGGCCCTATATACAAACACCTCAGGTAGAGTGAGGATATACAACCACCTTTCTCCATTGTTCCATTCACGAAGTGGGGTTAGACATGGGTTGTTTAATCACACCAATCGTCTTTAACTTTGCCACGAATGACATTTTGGGAACAGCTCTGATGGATGTAAGTAATAGCGGTGTGGATCTGTTGCCTAAAGAGACTTTTCGACCTTGAGTATGCAGATGATATTGTCTTACTGTGCGATAATGCCCAAGCCATGCAATCCGCACTTATTCAGTTGGCAATCAATGTCCGTAAGTACGATATGTGCTTCGAAGTGCAAAGTACTTCTACAAGACTGGCAGGATTCTAATCCTGTACTCATACTGGATGGTGAGCAGATAGAAGTAGTCGAGAAGTTCGTGTATCTGGGTAGCTGCATAAGTGCTGGTGGTGGCGTGAGTGATGAGATCGATTCACGTATGGTGAAAGCCAGAGCGGCTTATGTCAATCTAGGCCATCTTTCGCGCCTTCGTGATGTCACTTTGGCTGTAAAAGATCGGATGTACAACGCGTTGGTGAGAGCAGTTTTGCTCTATGCTTGTGAAACCTGGCCTCTCCTAGTTGAGGACGTTAGAAGACTCTGTGTTCGATCATCGCTTTCTCCGAAGGATTGCTGACATCCAGTGGCAACATCATGTCAGTAATGCAGAGGTTCGGCATCGTGTGTTCGGGCACAGAGACGATAATCCAGTTGATGTCACCATCTTGAAACACCGACTCCGGTGGCTTGGACATGTTCTACGAATGTCGTCCCAGAGAATTCCACGTCGTGCATTATTTGTCGACGCTGGGACTGGTTGGAAGAAGCGGAGAGGTGGTCAGTGCATGACATGGTGTCGTGGTATGAAAAAGAGTTTCAAAGGGCTGGCTTCTGTTGATCCTTCTCGACTCCCTGGTTGGGGTCCGAGGGATGATGTAACACAGTGGCTAGAGATGTTATCAGATATGGCTCAGAATAGAAGCCAATGGCGATTCTGCTGTAACCTTCTTTTACTTTCATTATGAAACATGGTTGTATCTTCCTTAACTGAAAGAATTCTTCTAGTTGTACCTTTCTGTTTCCCCAATTATTATTATTATTATTATTATTATTATTATTATTATTATTATTATTATTATTATTATTATTATTATTATTATTATTATTGCAACACTACGGATCATCGTCGAACAATCAGTTGAGTGGAACTCGTCACTGTACATCAACTTCATTGATTATGAAAAGGCATTCGACAGTGTAGATAGGAGGACATTATGGAAACTTCTTCGACATTACGGAGTTCCTGAGAAGATTGTCAATATTATCCGGAACTCATACGACGGACTACAGTGCAAAGTAGTGCATGGAGGACAGCTGACAGATGCATTCCAAGTAAGGACCGGAGTCAGACAAGGCTGTTTACTCTCTCCCTTCCTCTTTCTTCTGGTGGTCGACTGGATTATGAAGACCTCGACATCTGAAGGAAAACACGGAATACAATGGACAGCTCAGAACCAATTAGACGATCTGGACTTCGCAGATGACCTAGCCCTCCTATCACGTACACACGAACAGATGCAGATGAAGACAGCCAGTGTAGCAGCAGTCTCTGCATCAGTAGGCCTCAGCATACACAAAGGGAAAACGAAGGTCCTCAAATTCAAAGCGGAGAACAGCAATCCAATCACTCTTGATGGCGAAACTCTGGAAGATGTAGAATCCTTCACATATCTGGGAAGCATCGTCGATAGACATGGAGGTTCAGATGCAGACGTAAAGGCGAGGATTGGCAAAGCAAGGGCCGCATTCCTACAATTGAAGAACATATGGAACTCAAAACAACTTTCAACCAATATCAAAGTGAGAATCTTCAATACGAACGTCAAGGCAATTCTACTGTATGGAGCTGAAACTTGGAGAACTACAACAACCACAATCAAGAAAGTACAAGTATTTATAAATAGCTGTCTACGCAAGATACTCAACATCCATTGGCCGGATACCATCAGCAATAGCCTTCTGTGGGAGAGAACAAACCAACTTCCAGCTGAAGAGGAAATTAGGAAAAGACGATGGAAATGGATAGGACATACATTACGCAAATCGTCAAACTGCATCGCGAGGCAAGCCCTAACTTGGAATCCTGAAGGGAAGCGGAAAAGAGGAAGGCCAAAGAACACATTACGTCGGATAATAGAAGCAGATATGAAAAGGATGAATTACAACTGGAAGGAGCTGGAAAGTATTGCCCAGGACAGGGTTGGATGGAGAATGCTGGTGAGCGACCTATGCTCCTTCACGAGGAGTAACAGGTGTAAGTAAGTAAGTAAGTATTATTATTATTATTATTATTATTATTATTATTATTATTATTATTACACTACCTTACACTAATTTGGTCGTTATTGTTCTTCTCCTTTTTTTCTTTTACGCTCCTTCTTTCTTCTCTCCTCCCATTCTCGTTGTTTTGTGTGACGCATATATATTTGGTGCCCTCTTGTACCAATATTTATCTGTTCAAATAAATAATTAATAATGTATGCTTTTGT